GGTGTAGAGTTCGCGCATCTTGCCGGCATCCGAAAAATCGTTACTATACATGCATCCAGAGAGACCATCACCACACAATGAATAATGGAACAAAAATTGTTTTCCCAGACATTTTAGTGGAGAGGAATGAGAAAAAGAAGACATATGCTGGAGATAATTTGGAAGCGTATTTTAGAAAACTCAATTACTTCCATTTCATATCCCCTTATGGATTTACACACATGTGAAATACAAAAGCGAATATGAGGGAAGGAATAATTATTATTCTCTTTGCTAACCTTTTCAGGTGTTATAAGGTAAATTGCCTGTGAATGTCCCTCTGTGGTGGCAGCGACAAAAAAGAGTTACCACTGCTTTGTTCACACAAATATTTTATGTTGATGAAAGAAAAAAAAATCACTCAAAATACGATGCTTTCAATTGTTCAAAAAGAGCAATGCACAAAAAAAGTTTATATAAATCAAGAGAATGACTAATTTTCTAACTCGACTGCCTCGAATTCTTTCCTAATGATTCTCTTTTTTGCACCAGAAAAAAAACCAACAATTTCTCGATAAAAACTTTTACAAGAAAGAAAAAATAATCGCACGGTTATTAGGCAAAATATGATCAAAAATAGCACAAAGATTTTAGATGAGAAAATATTTATTTGATTTGATTATAATTTCACAGGAAACTCACACAGATATTGAGAGAATATTTTCGCTTTTTATTTGGAATTAAGAAAATTTTACAAGCCCGACTGTCGCGCAAAATTGTATCAATTTATTCCTTTGCAAAAAATTTCCACAATTTTCGAGGGACAATGCTCACCGTTCAGTGATTCAGAGTGAACTAACGAATGGTGAACTGGTGAATTTTCACATTTACTTCAACACCCAACCACCACCAAAAGCCGTATCGATATAACAAGGTGAGGTTCTTGTGAGCGCCTTTCGGCTTCTTAACAGACTGACTTCACTCCGCACCAGTGAAAACTCTGGTGGCTGATGAATGCCGGCTCTTGCCTCGCCTTCGCCCTCCCCAGCCGCTCGCGACTCCCTACTTCTCCATCGGCGCAAATATCGCGCAACTCAGCTCTCAAATATACCATACATACATATATGCCGTATATTGCAATCAGTCAGCAAGATACTTCTTTTTTTCTCCTCTTACTTTTTCCCCAAGTACACCACCAAGGCACCCAGCTCTCAGTACGAACCAACAGTACAATACATGGAGGATTATTCATGGTGCCCATTGCTGGATTCTCTCCACTCTGGCCGTACAAATCTTGTGAGATCTCTTTCTGCACCAGGGGGCCCCTCCAGACGTGGCTAATGGAGCTCTCACTCCACCACTGCATATGTACCCGAAAGTACATGAAATTCACCACACACAGCCGCCAAGAATGCCTCACAGAGAAAATGGGACCCACTCAATCTCTCCAATCTTCAAATGTAGTGTAAAATATATACAATTATTAACACTATTCTATATATAGACAGTAATTTTTTCCTCTCGGAAAGGCATATGAGCATGAACGAGCGAAAGAGAAACGAATGTCGGTGAGTGAGGTTTTTAGCAAAAGTTTCATGAATCATCAACAATGGCTATAGCATTTTGTTGTTCTTAGTCGTTGTACATTTAACGCTTCACTTCTAGTGTGAAAATCCAGAATGCTCGCGGCGCGGCTTCATTCTGTAGCGAGAGAGTGTCACAAAAAATCACTTTTCGGCACAATATTCATCTCGTCACCCATCATCTTCATCATAATCAAAATATGGTAATTTTTCTGCCACAGCATTATTGCTAATGCACAATGAAAAATTACATCAAATTCAATGTGAAGAATTCATACATGTAGTCATGTGTGTTTTTATCGTGTTGATGATTAGATAAATATGATTACTCCTTAAAAATTATTACAAGGCGTGTCAATTGAGTCTATATTGCTTTATGATTGAGATATTTTTTCGTCTCAGTCATCGAGGAGACACTGTGCAAACTCATCACCAATACAGGTGTCAATATTCAATTTCAAGCATTACGACAAAAGGATGAAGAGTAACCCGATAGAATCTGATGTTATATTCTCAAAAGCATATCCTTCGTTTGAAAGAAAATCAGGAATGATTTGTCCTATTCACGATTTTTCCCCCAATATTTGACGAGCTCTCTGAGTCTACATGATATTTCACATGTCTTAGATGTAATCCTCAAACAATAATAATGTCGCAGTATAATGGGGAGTAATTGGGATTATTCTGTCGTCATCATATTTTTCCTTCTACACACCATGCAACCTTAATTCTCCTGCCAAGCCACGTCTCAATGAATCCCCCCGCATTTTCAACACCATCTTCTATACAAGGAGGCGAAGCCCTATCGTTTCACCAGCTTTGTGACATACCTTCGGCAAACACACATCCACCCTCGGATAAGAGAATTGGATCGTGTTGGAGTGCAAGCAAATAGTCATAGGAGATAAATAAATAAAAGAATAGCATCGTTTTACCAAGAACCCCACCATAATTTTCCAATGTAATGCCTTGGTGGAATAGTCATCTTGGGAATTGTGATGTGTGCTAAGGATGGCGAAAAGGGAGTGAAGGCCAAAAAAGGCATGAATGCAGCAAATATTCTGGTACACTAGAAGATGAGAATGGAATATACAACTATATATATTGATCCACATTTTTCCGCCCCTTCGTCTGAGATATATAGTGAGTTAATTTAATGTGACACCGCAGTTCTTCTTGGCACCACTCTGATTTTCTCTTTGCAGATTCTTATTAAACTGCGTTGTGTTATCTCCATCTGCAGAATGTTGCAACATCCCACTTGCATAACAAGTAAACTAATAAAGCATGGATGAGAGTGAAGTGGAGGCGCGCTTTCCTCACTCCCAGAACATATGTTGAACGCTCTTTTTACAAACAATTATACATGACCAATATTCAGCAGTGTTTAATGTGAATATTTTTCACTTTGCATCCATCTAAGCGCCAGCACATTGTCTTTAAAAAAACACACAACAATCATATTGTTGCTGGCGGAGGAATAGCAAAAATGATACTGTGTTGCGCGCATCGATCATTGAACTAGGCGAGAGGGAGCGCGTCATTTTTTCCGCTGCCAAAAGTAAAATCGTAAAATAGCAAAAAAGAGAAAGAGTTATTTTTTTCAGAAAAAAAAGAAAGAAACACACCAAGCAAACGATAGTGTATAGAACAATACAATAATTTGTGTTGGAAACCACACTCCGTGATATTTTCCCTTGAGAGTCACACTGATGATGATGTGACCAACACAGCAAATTTCCTATTCGCGAATTTTGCAACTGTACTTTTTTATACGCTCACTTCGCGGTAGATTGAGGGATACAAATTGCCAACACCATGGACACTCTACACAGAATAAATCCATCATAGAGCACAAGGCATAAAATGTGGCAGGAACAACCATCTACCGCGTCAATCGAGTTGGTGAGAAAAAATTTCTAATCTTAATTGCGATTCTTCTAATGATTGCTTCTCTTCTTATATGCGAGACTCTCGCCTCTTCCGTCTTTCTTTCACCTCACACTCACTTCGCCTCTGCCGATATTCTGACCGTATACTGGCTACTCTCACAGCTCTCATTTATTCCTCGTTATGTATCAGTGAAGTTACCTGATTTTACGTTCCAATTGGCGAATATTCGCCCATAAGACAAAACGTCTTGTTAATAGGTGTAGTTATAAAGTAAAAATAGCTCTCAATTGTGCATGGTCACTTATTACAAAAATTTTTCTCTTTTCCAATTTCAAACTCTTCTGGACATGTGTGTAGTCTTTTTTTTTACTTTCACAATTATTAATCTGTTTAAATACCACTTATATCTCGAGATTTATAGAGCCACAAGAGTAGTCATGGAGATATCAATCACTTGTCCTCATGATTTAGGAGCGAAAACATTGTTATACACCGCGCAATATTGGGAATGTTATCATTCCATCGCTCTCATGATGAATGAAGAGCAGCAACATGATAATTCAACTACAATTTATTGGGATTTAATGTATCTAACCTCATCGCACTTGAGGTAACATTCAATTATATTTGACCGTCAGGATATGAGTGTGTTTTTATTATTATAATTCTAATTAATTTATAAGTCTCACTCGCGAAGCTCTAAAATTTTATTGTATTTTTGAACAATTCCTCTTAAGCGACCTGCTCACTATCAAAAAGATTGTGTGCCAAGAAATGTGTTGGAAACTCAAATTTTACCAAACTTCCATTTAAAACATTGTATTAGAATTAATTATATATAAATCGTGCTCAATTGTTCGTGATTATTGTTTTCAATAAATATTAATTCACACTTTCCAATGCAACTATAAAAAAAAATTTTATAAACACCTAAAAAATGTCTCCACGAATAAACCTCTCAGGAAGTAACGCGTCTTAAAATTTCCACTTGCAACCTCACACTTGCAATAAAGTCCGCATTAATTAATGCATCAAAGCATAATAGCGTAAACAAATAAAAATATATATTTTTTTCGTCGAAATTATTACTACAATTTCACTAATTAAGTCTTCCATCAAATTACTCCGCAAATAGCATTAATAATTCAAAAGCATTTGCTCGCGATTCTGTAAACAAGATGACCTCAAGAGTGTGACTCTTCATTATCACAACATGTTTTGTCTTGCAGATCTCCCACAATTTTGCATTTAATATGCAATTTTGCCCACAATAATGGTGTATTGTTCTGAGAGGGAAGAAGCGTCAATTCGATTGAGTCTCAATTTCGATCCATTTAAAAGATTATTGAATATGGGGAGAAAATATTTTCAGCCCAGAGAATTATGAATATACTGTGCAATCAGTTTAAATGATTAATAGAGCGTGTAACAAGTTACTAATTATTGGGTGTCCACATATTCGCGAGATTACCGATTAAGCGCTCAAGCTGTCCATCTCCAAAAGAATTAGTGTATGAAATTTGTCGTACAATCGGATTATCCTACCTGTGGCCTTCTGCGCTGCCATATTGTACACAGCTATAGCAGCATCATCCTCCTTCACGTGATCCCACAGGCCATCACTGGCCATTATTAGAAAGTCCTCATCGCCGTCCAGTGGAATCGACATTATTTCCGGTTCACTCGTCACGTAGGGTTTGTAGTCAACATCACCGATGGCTCGTGTGATTGCTAATTGTCCATTAACACGCCAAACGCCATTATACATTATACAAGCACCACCTTGTCTGGCGATTCTCTTCTGCTCAGCCTAATTCAATTATAAATATGAAATTGTATAAATATATATGAATGGGAAATTGAAGTGAAATTGCTAAATGTACCTCATCGTCTGCCTTGTGTGGCTTAACAGTTTGGAAAACTTTTCGATTTTTAACTAAAAGCGCCTGAGTATCACCAACCCAGCCCACGTAGAGCCACTTCTCCTCCGGTCTGTGCAGCACACATAGAGCCGTTGTGCCACCTTTCAGCGTCTGCAATTATGCCCAGAGCACTTCAATTTGCAATCACTGCCCACAACCTTAGCATTTGGGTGGAAAATAGATTATAGAAGTGCAGAAAACTCACTCTGAACTCATTCTTCTGGATAAAAGCCTCATCAGTACGAATGAAGGCATCCTTGATTGCCTCAGCCGGCGAATCTGGATAGTAGACACTCTCGGACAAGTGGTAGTGAAGGTGGGAGACGCTGTAGACAGCAGCATCGAGACCACCGTGTCCGTCGAAGATCGCATAGAAGCCCGTCCGCTGGCTATCTTTCGCCTTCACCGCAAACAACCCATTGAAATCGTCCACCACCACATGGCGATCCTCCATGATTCTTCGCCCATTCTTCACGGCGTACGATTCATACTTTGGCGGCAATTTCGATAGGCATATCCGTGGCATCATCAGGTCCAATTCCGCATTGTCCAGCGCCTTCAGACACACCTCGTCCACCATTGCCGTGACTGATCTCATCAATTTAATTGGCTGATAGTCTGAAATTGGACCAAATTAATATTGCCGCAGGATTAATTGGACAGCCAAATATACATACATTTCTTCTCGGGATTGTAGCCACAGACATCTGGCGATTTCTGGCATTGCTGCTTAATTCTCTCAATAACGGCTCGGACTATTGGATTGAGCAGAGTCGATGGACAATTTCTGCAAATGAACACAACCATGCATTTAATATTTAATCATCTCATAGAGTGCTTTCTGAATTCACAGTGATCAGAGTTGAAAGCACGATTTGAATATCACCATCTAAGATTTCAATATTTTTAAAATTTCATGTTCAATTTTAGGGACTTTTTAACAGAAAATACAAGCAGTGAATCTCTTCCTACTTCTTGTAAAATTCTTATTCCAGAATTTAACATTAACCTTTATCATACAATCTAGAAATACTGCAACTCTGATCTCATGGGAAGAATAACCATTCTCTCAATATTAGCAATTCTCGGGAAATGTATTTTGATGATTCAAGAAAAAGCTGAAATAAGAATGAGTGAATCAGAGGTGTGGTTCTTCGTGTCATCTTCAATTTTGAGTGTACATATACTGAAGTCTTTCTCCATCTCGTGACGCTTTCATCTCTCCAGCAAAACATGCTCTTCCCTCAGCCATAAAAGGCCCCCAAGGAGTAAAAATCGTTAAATATAGATCACTCCCCCTTTGAGAAAAAGGTACAAATGTACTTCTTCGTAGGTGTGTATTTTCTCAACTGTGCTGGAAAATATTATCTCACTGCCGCTTGTTTCTCCTTCAAGACTCTAAACAAATCAATGAACCTTCGGAATCCCTTGTCAATTTTCTCAAATCTCTCTCCCCCACCCCTCCAGCAGCAGCACATCCAGTTTTCCACCATTTATACAAGTGAATATTTTCAGTCTGGAGCGTACGGAATGGAATTTATCTGTATATACAGCAAGAAGATGGCAAGAGATTATTCTGTGTTCTGAATAATAATTGAGACTTTGCGGGGCGATGGGCAGGCGTAAAACCAGCTGCAATTATTATCATAATTAATTAATATAGAGAGAATCATTCACTGGAGAGAGTGTGTTCGGCAGATTGTACTTGCCCAGTGAAGAAAACTGTGAATAATTGCCAGTGAAATTGCTGCCGGAGAAATTCGTTATTGAATTTTTGCAGAATAAACCGCGCCTTTTTTTGCCGGAGCGCGCGCGCAACCCCTTCAATTGTCACACATCAGTGCGGAGACATTTGTCAGGATTGCAGGTGTCGTCATTGAGCGGTTTCGCGGCAAGGGCACCCTCGCGGCCGCGAATGACACCCGAGATTAGATAAAAACAGCCAATTCTGAGCTACTCGCAAACATTTCTCCACTTGTTTGGGTGCCTTTTATCGCGAATAGCGCATTAATTAGCCTCGAGTGACTGATTAGTCACTCCTGTGACTCCCAATTGCGCTCGCCCCACGACTCCGCCCCGCGCAAATTGCCTAAACGGTTGATGGTCGCGGTGACGCGCATCTTTTCATGTTTCTCTCCTCGTCAGGCATCTCTTCTCACCTGGTGGATAAATATTGCAGCGACCAGTGAATTATTTCACCGTCAATCTCGTCCTCAGTCAAATTGTAGCTGGACACTCGCACAGGCAGTGGATCGTTGGGATTCACCGAGGCAGCGAACATCTTAAGGAAGTTCCGATGCTCATCCCATATCAAACTCTGTTGATCCATTGCGTTTTCTCGCTTCTCACTCACTTATTTCACACTACACTCACTCTCGGCAAACAGGATAGATGGGAAATGCAACAAATAGATCACAATTGCTCAATGAATGGGGGAAAAACAGGGAAGGGTGATGGAAATTTATAGGGGACTGTGATATTTACTACAATCAAACTAAAATTACAGGGATTTCGTTGGTCGGAAATGCAAGATATTGCGATACTGATATGTTTTTGTACTCTACACGCGAAATTGCACTGGTATATTCAATAATATTCACTCTTTCTCACTCAGAACGAGCCATTTACACCAAAATTACACGGATTCTGGGAATGTAGACAAAACTGACACCCTGCATCAAGGCCGCCAACATCTCGGTATTGAACGATAAATCTAGATGGCGCGCGCGCATTGCCAAACGTCAGAAAAGGTAAACAAAAAGAAGTGTTTTTTCCACTTACCGAAAAGTCGCAATTTTCCATGAAAATGGATCTTAAGGATGTGCGAGGCAATATGAGAGGCCTTAAGAAGTGTCCGTCTTGCTTCAAATATAATGGCCTTCGCGCGAAAGGGTGCAGAAATCGAGATTGTGCCCTCAATTTGAAGAACAAAACACAGAGTTCCACGATGCTGGATGCCGTGGCGCTCCTGGGACAAGGAGACTCTCGTCTGTTCAGCGTAAAGACACGAGAGAAGTGTTCTGAAAGTGTGGACACTCGTAGCTTCGTGAAGATCACGGATAAAGTAGTGGAATCTGATGCGACAGCATCCATCATCCACAGGAATGCAATTTGCTTCGTGGACACTTGCAAGTACGACTCCAAGGATCACGATGTGACGTGCAAACACGTGAAGGAGGCCAGCGAAACGGCCGTGGAGGCGATTGGGCTGAGCATTAAGAGGGAGACTTTCTACTCTATCACTGTAATTTCTGACGCTGAGAAGCATTCGCAGTGGCAAGAAGTTGTCGCCTGCGCAGCCTCTCCAGCTGTTCAGAGGATCAACAAGAAGATCTTCGTGGTGAGATGTGAAGGCACAGCGACGGGATATGTGCACTGTGAGCTATCGAGGGATGACGCGGGTGCTCCAATGTACTCGTGCAGCTGCAAAGTCATAAAGATTCTCCTCGATCTCAACACGATTGTCATGGAGAAGGAAGTTTGCCGGCACATGATGCTGCTGTCGGCTGCCCTCAACAGTGATTCTCGCCTACAGAATCTGTACAAGCAACACCTGGACTTGTGGAAGCACATCTACTCAACCTTCGATCGCGCAATCTATCAAATTCCCAGTGCTTCCATGGACACGGACATCGCGGATCTGAGCACAGAGATTGAGTTCATCTCTGACCCCACGAGAGATGAGTTCTGCACGGGTGACAGTGGAGGGAACTGGCAAAACTCCCTGGACAACTTTGTGATCAACAATATGGAGCTACAAGACTGTCAGATCGAATTGATGGATGATTTCCAACTGACTGACCAACTCGATCTCTGCGCTGATGATTTGATTGATCCTCTGAACGCGCCCACTTCCACTGGCCTTCTGGACACCATTGTGCCTCCCAATGATCAGATCCACTTCCAGACAATTGAGCTGAGAATGAAGAATCCCGAACCTAGTCAAGTGAGAGAGTCACAAGCAAAGAGGCGCATGCGGAAGATCTTCCAGAGAGCCAAGCTCACGTACGATGTTCAGGAGATGGATCGCCATGTGGCCTTCGAACAGTGGCTGGCTTCCGTTGTGGAGCGAATAAATTTCTCTCCAGACTATAACGATGTGTCTCACCTAGTGAGGCTGACGTTCAGCGCGCACAGCAACTTCTTCAATTGCCTGCACATGAGATTCTCAAAGGATGCCTCAAAGAGAAAACTCCCCAACAAGTGCGAAGTGATCAACAGCGGCCCTCATGCTGGCTTGGTGACCAATGTCTTTCACTTCTCCAGCAAATCCGAGATCGTGAGGATATTCTCCAATGAAACTGTGAGTTTGTATAGAAAAAAAGCATATGCAATTTTACAATTTACAATACTTTAAGTTTACTACTCTGAGTCCTGTTTTGTTCTGAAATTTTAGGTGAAGTTCGAGATCGAGAGATACTTCAAGCTGTCGTCCAATAAGTATGTGCCAATGAGTGAGCAGGACTTGCGTCAGCATCTTGAGGTCAATCACAATGGAAATGATGGAAAGTGGTGTCCCGTGAAGCCGACAGAGTACAAGACGTTCATCAGGATGAGCAGCAGTCACTGCTTCACAATCAAGTGGACCGCCGACACTCTGCCGCGCAGCAATCATGGCGAGATGGTGATCGAATTCGCGGTGGGGCGCATGAAGAATGGCCAGCAAATCCCTTGAGAGCGCTTATGACAGCTCCATCGATGCCACACACTTGTCCACAATGGTGTCCAACATGAGTTGATTCCACTGGTTCCCATACTCCGAAAGATCCGCCTCACGGAACATACTAAGCTTCTTCTTGCCACAAATGTCTGATCTGAGATAATAATAGACGGCTATTTCCAGCAATTGTCGATTGTTGTTGTTCATGGCCCACTCGAAGACACTGAGGACGTTCACCTCACTTATGATCCTGCGAATGACAGTGAGCAGGGCCATCTCGATGTCCGTCAGCATGTACCTCATCGAGAGCTCGTAGGCCTGAAGCGCGGGCGTCATTTCGGTCGCCAAAGGCACGCTATCGAGCGAATCTGAGCGATTGAGGATGATTAGGTTGAGGAAGTATTTGATGCCCGCCACGCTGACGTCTGAGATGTGAATCTCCTTGTTGATGGACTCGCGAAACTGGCTCGTGAGCATTGTGTTGAACACATCACTGCACTCCTTGAGGATGCTCTCGCTGAAGTTCACTCGTTCGCTGTCCTTCACCACGAATGAGATCAAGTCATCACTGCAGGCTGATAAGTAGTTCTCCTCGTCGTAGTCGGGATTGTCAGTCTTCTTCCCACCACTCTGACCATCACAGATGTTGAGATTCCCCGCCAGAGCCGTAATGCCCAGGCACGCCTTCTCGCCCAGCTCCTTGTCGTCCGTGAGGATGATCTCCATCACGGTGTACAGTGCACTGTGATCCACGAGGAAGGTGTAGAGAAACTTGGGCTCGCGCAGGATGAACGTGATCAGAATCGCCACGTGCTTCCTCATGCCTCTCTCGCCAGTGAGCAGATAATGCGCCAATTCCCCACGTCCGTAGCCAGACTCTGCGATGGCAGACAAGCCACCCAGGATGGAAGTGCTGACAATCTTCATCTCCTCGCACGATTGGCAGTCGGTGTGATCGTATCCCGTGTGTCGGAGTTTGTAGATGTCAATCACAAAGTCGTTCTGCAGCAGCGGCACGAAGTTATTAGTGTCATGGACCACAAAGTGGAGAATCTTATTGCAGTAAGTGTGAGGATATGAGATGAAGCGACAGGTCTTCAGGAGTGCCGTCAAACTCTCCAGCTTTGCTAGCTCAGGCGCATGATTGAGTATCAGAGGCATGTCTCTCAGCAACAGCAGGATCCTCTTGATTGTGCTCTTCTCCACACCCTCAGACGGCATTGCCACTGCATCGTGCGACGCGGCGTCTTGCGAGTTCTCATTAATGCCCTCCGTGAGAACAACCGCTGCCAGACTGTTTTGCGAATCTTCATCGCACAAGTTCGACAGTCCATCATGTTCAGGATCTCTCTTTTCCTCTGGCGCCCTGATTTCCTCCTCATTGTCACTGCACACGGGCGAATAAGTCATTGATTCGTCGTCAGAGTCAAACACCGTACTTCTGGGCGAACTATTCTTCGGCGATAAGCTGCAGAAGCTGCTCGGACTGCCTTGATTCGTGTACAAACTGCCGTATCCACTGGAACTGCCCGGAGATCCTGGCTCTGAGAAGTGCGACGGCTTCGGACTCTTGATCTTGAATCGCTTCATTGGATGCGCAATCTCGGACTCCTCGAAGGTCTTCCTCTTGATCTCCTTGCTCTCCGGCGCCTTCTCAATTGGCACATGATCCACCTCAGCCTCAGCCAGTTCCTCCGCCAGCCTCTTTATCAGCGCTCCGATGAGTCCCTCGCGCACCAGCAGACACATGCTCATCTGATCGTAGCAGAACAGCGTGAAGCCATACATTATCATATCACGCTCCTGGCGACACTCCGTCTCCCGGAAGCGCTGCAGGAGCTTCTTCAGGGCGCCACTGTGGCGGATCTTAGCGCGATTGCAGGAGTCCTGGGCGAGGAGGCAGATCAAGTTGACACAGTATCGAATCTCTGCGGCAGTGAGGCAATTTTCCGCATCTTCAGAATCATTTCGCTGAAGAAGTTCACTGGCCATCGTAACGGCATTGGCACATCCGATGTGATCGCGATTTGTGCGATTGAACACCATGGTAGACAGTATGGAGAGGACAATTCCCCGGAATTGGTTGCCACTCCTGCCCAGTGCCACCAGGCATTTGTAGCCACTTCCATCCGCCAGAATGCACTCTGAGACGCCTCCGTTGTCCTTCACCACCATTTGTAGGCATCGCAGTATGCCACTGATCAGATCACACTTGTCAGCTTCCGTTGGGGCAATAAATTCATCCTTTTCCGCACTTCCTGGCTGATCCTTGCCCAGCATGGCAAAGTCAAATATGTCACTTCTAACGTTCTCTAGTCGCGACACCATTGAGTTAATTGACTTCCTGGTGCTCTCGCGAAACACCCTGTTGGGATACATGCGCGCCAGGGCGTCCTCCTCGATGGCAGTTGTGGATGAGGAAGCTTCTGAGATTTTCTCATTCCGTGAGTATTTTATAACGATCATCATCATTCGCTTGATTATTGCACAGTGACTAGCCTCCAACTGGAACGACGTGATCTTCCAGATCTTGCTCAAGAGACGAACAGCCATCACGAGAGTTGCTATTGGCTTCGCCTCGTCCAGGATCGGCAAAATGATGCTGGAAATGCCTCGACTGGAGATTTGCTTAGCAATTTCCTCGATGGCTGCAATATTTCCCAGGATGCGACATGTGCGACACTGAATACTATCATTTGTGACGGTTCTCAGGAGCAGAATCAGTGGAGCCACGATTCCCAGCTCGCCAGCCTGAAAGATAACACAGATGGTATCAATACTTTTGGAACACCCTTTGCTGGAGTCTGCATACCTTTTTGGCACACTTCTCCACCGTGCAGCAATTCCCCAGAATGCTGAGCGACAGGTCTATGATCTTCTCATTGGGCTTCTTGATCAGATTCACCAGCGGCTGAAGCCCTCCCTCAGCGTGGAACACCTCAATTCCTTCTCGCGTCTTCACGTCCGCCCGAATTTTGATGAGAATCCTATAAATTGCCCTCTTGTCCCCCTCCAACGCGAGCTCCCCGATGTACTGCCTGATTTTCTCACTATCCATCACACCACTCTGGCCACTGATTGGGGAAATGGGTGAATTTTTCTCGAAGCTGGAAAAATTTTCACGGAATCCGTCAAAAACTCCACTTGCTGCAACACTAGTCGTCTCTTTCGCACTCACAAGGGAAATGTGAATGAACTCGCCCGGAATTCTAAGGTTATGTGTTGCAGCCTCCTGACCGTGCGATGAAAGTTCTGCCCAGGAGCATAAAATTGGTGAGAATACACCCAGAAAATTACACTATTTGCATCTACAGTAGCTATATACTCTTTTTCTGCAGCTGGCGGCTCAGCTCCGTGAGAAATCCGTGAATTGTGAGGAGATTTCCACTGTGATCTCCAGCACTGTCCAGAAGACGAAGAACTTGAACGCCTTCATAACAGTCACGGAAGAATGCGCCGAGAAGCAATGGTCAGATTCCAAGGAGAGGCACAAACTTGGCAAGTCTCTGGGGGATTTGGACGGAGTGCCAATTGCCGTGAAAGACAATTTTTGCACAAAAAACATCCGGACAACTTGCGCCTCTCGGATGTTGCGATTTTTTACTCCCACCTACAATGCCACGGTTTATGAGAGACTGGCTCAACGTGGAGCTGTTCTAGTCGGGAAGACAAATATGGATGAGTTCGCCATGGGATCTGGAGCGACAGATTCTATTTTTGGACCAGTTAAGAATCCATGGAGTGACGGAGAAGAGAACTGGCGCATTTCAGGAGGAAGTTCTGGAGGATCCGCCGTGGCAGTGGCCACAGGAAGTTGCTATGCCGCTCTAGGATCAGACACGGGAGGATCGACGAGAAATCCTGCCTCCTACTGTGGCGTGGTGGGTCTGAAACCGACTTACGGATTGCTTTCCCGCCACGGATTGATTCCTCTGGTCAATTCACTGGATGTCCCTGGAATACTCACACGATCTGTGGAAGATTGCACTGTGGTGCTGAATGCCATCGCTGGACCAGATGACAGAGACTCCACTACACTGAAGAGCCCTCACAAACCTATCGAATTACCTCCAGTCGAGAAGATTTCTCTCCGTGGCCTCAAAGTTGGAATCCCAGCGGAATATCACAGCCCTGAAATGGCGGAAAACGTCTCAGAGACGTGGAAGTTTGTGGCCAGGCTGTTGGAGGAAGCAGGAGCGACAGTAACTGATGTGTCCCTGCCTCACACTTCCTCCTCAATAGCAGTCTACTCTGTCCTGAACACCTGCGAAGTGGCCAGTAACATGGCTCGATACGATGGAATTGAGTTCGGGCACAGAGCCGAAGATGCGTCCAGCACGGAGAAACTGTACGCTGAATCCCGGGCAGTGGGATTCAATCATGTTGTGAAAACAAGGATTTTATCTGGGAACTTCTTCCTGCTTCGGCGAAACTATGAAAACTACTTCATGCAGGCGCTGAAAGTGCGTCGCTTAATTGCCCAGGATTTCCAGAAAGTCTTTCACGGAGAGTGTCATCTTCTCCTGACCCCAACAACTCTCTCAGAGGCTCCGGCACATCAAGAATTCGTTGGCCACTCGAATAGGGATCAATGTGCTGTCCAGGATTTCTGCACTCAACCTGTGAACATGGCCGGAATCCCTGCAATTTCTCTGCCCATCCGACTCTCAGAGAACAATCTGCCTCTGTCGCTCCAGCTCATCGGCCCCAGATTGTCAGAGAGTCTCCTGCTCACCGTGGCCAGATGGATAGAGCACACAGTCGACTTCCAGCACAGAGTTTATTAGCTTCAAGTGTTCTTGACCAGACCCGCGACAGTCCGCCACACGAAGCTGCTCACGAGGCTCCAGAAGGGGGCTGAAATGGCTCCGGGAATGCCGGTTGGTGCACTCATTATCGTCCCGAGAGGCATGAAGTCGAATCTGTCGTCGAACACCACCACAGGAGTCTTCCGGTGGTAGATAGAGATGCCGATGAGGAGGATGTACAGGAAAGCCTTTGTGCCATATGGAACACCGTACTTTATCACCATCTTCGAGGTGCTGTTGAGAACTGCCAGCTCGTTGAGCTTCTTCTCTGCCACCACGATCTTCCGCTCAATGCGCACGTACCTCGGGTACTCATCCCTCATCGAGATTCCCCGCAATTCCCGCCGGTGGTCGACGATTGTGGCCTTCAGCTCAGCTTCCATCTTCGTGTCTGTGTTGAGACAGTTGACTAGCTGGAAAGAAAGACGCTTTTCCAGTCATGTGTCGCAGGAATAAAGCATTACAAGTACTTACTGGTCTGGTCAGAATGTGGGCAAAGGCCAGAATAAAGGAGACACTAGTAATTATAAGGATAAGCACCATTTTCAGTGTGTTTTTGAGGAGAATTGAAGAAATCTGGGCAGCGCTCGGGATGTAAATAAATTCCAGCTACAACAGTGCCATCTGGAATTTCAGTGTGAAAAACTAAGGCGGGAAACAACCAGAAATGAACTACAAAATTATATTTATTCTACAATTTTTCATAGCTTGTCCAGCATTACATATCCAAATTCGCCCTTCCTAAAGGCCTTCAGGAAGTGAGCAGCGGATGATTCAAAGTCTGGCCTGGTCACGCGCTCTGCCATCACAGTGCGCACTACCTGGTACTTGTCGATCACTTTGGCTCCGGCAGCGAGAACCTCGATGATGTTATCATTTGGCTTCTCTAATCCCATAAACTCCACGTACCGGTAATTCTCTTCCATGTTCAGCCGGAAGAGCAGATAATCAGCAACAACTAGAGGACCCACGAGATGATCCTGAAGACAGGCGCATAACGCCAATTTCAGACCCGTTTCATTGTCTGAGACTTTTGGCGTGAGGATTCCTGGTGTGTCCAGAACGAAGATGGGCGGATTCGCTGATATTCTGATGCGATTCATCACGGATCGTGTGATACCCGGAACGGCTCCCACTGGCGATGAGGATCTCTTGTGCAGATGCTTATTTCTCAGGATGTTCACGAGTGAGGATTTACCCACATTCGGCACCCCAATGATCATGATGCAGTACTCGCTCAGTTCCGATCGGTTGTATCGGTTGGAGTTGACGATGAGCTTCTTGGCCAGCGGCAGGAGTCTTCTGATGCCTTCACACTTTTGATCCTTGCAATTGGTAAATAAAACATGCTCGCACTCGCCGGAACTCTGCACTCTCTCCACTATCTTTGCACCACTTCCCGGCGGGATGAGGTCCTTCTTGTTCATCACCAGGATGTGGGGTTTTATGCCGCGGATTGTGTGCCGGAAGTCTTCATTGCGGCCAGAGAATGGAATCCTGGCGTCGTGAATCTCAATGACACAGTCCACTGACTTCAGCTTCTGCTGCATCTGACGGAGACCCTTGCCCATGTGTCCAGGAAACCATTGCAGTGTCTCCCGGCGGATCAGAGGGAATGCTTTCCGGAAAGCCTGGGACATGTCCTCTTTGTCACCACAACCTCACTTTACTTTAATACGCAAAGGTTGGCAGCAGTGCTGCTGTTTTGGTCTGGTGAAGTGAATAAGCAGAATTTTAGTCTCCCACAAAAATGGTAATTTTCACTAGTTTTTCCATATTTTCCGACAAATTTCACAATTGGAATTCCTTTGGGACATCTTGGGTATTCATTTGGGAGTGAATATTTCCGAATATCTCACAATTTGAGCGAGATATTGCAGTGTAGTTGGGGATAACCTCAAAGATGACAGGGCAATTCAATGATGAACTCCTTTGTTTCCTGTCTCTCTAGGGACAAAATCAATCTGGATCTGGTGGAGGAGGTGATAAGAAGGATGACAAGGATAAGAAGAAGAAGTACGAGCCCCCAATTCCCACGCGCGTGGGCAAGAAGAAGCGCAAGGCAAAGGGTCCGGATGCGGCCATGAAGCTGCCTCAAGTGACTCCCCACACGCGCTGTCGCCTGAAACTGCTGAAGCTGGAGCGGATAAAGGACTACCTGCTAATGGAGGAGGAGTTCATTCGCAACCAGGAGCGCCTGAAGCCGCAGGATGAGAAGAATGAGGAGGAGCGCTCGAAAGTGGATGATCTGAGAGGCACACCAATGTCTGTGGGCACACTGGAGGAGATCATCGATGATAACCACGCTATTGTGTCCACCTCGGTGGGCAGCGAACACTATGTGAGCATTCTGTCGTTCGTGGACAAGGATCAGCTGGAGCCGGGCTGTTCGGTGCTGCTGAACCACAAAGTTCACGCTGTCGTGGGCGTGCTGAGCGACGATACGGATCCCATGGTGACGGTAATGAAGCTGGAGAAGGCGCCACAGGAGACGTACGCGGACATCGGTGGTCTGGACACGCAGATCCAGGAGATCAAGGAGTCTGTCGAGCTTCCCCTCACTCATCCTGAGTACTACGAAGAGATGGGCATTAAGCCGCCGAAAGGAGTGATCCTGTACGGCCCTCCGGGCACAGGCAAGACTCTGCTGGCGAAGGCGGTGGCCAACCAGACGTCCGCCACGTTCTTGCGCGTCGTGGGATCGGAGCTCATTCAGAAGTACCTCGGCGATGGTCCGAAGCTGGTCAGGGAGCTCTTCCGTGTGGCTGAGGAGCACGCGCCGTCGATTGTCTTCATCGATGAGATCGACGCTGTGGGCACGAAGCGATATGACAGCAATTCCGGTGGCGAGAGAGAAATCCAGAGAACCATGCTGGAGCTCCTCAATCAGCTGGACGGCTTCGATTCGCGTGGCGATGTGAAAGTCATCATGGCCACGAATAGGATTGAGACTCTGGATCCTGCCCTCATTCGTCCTGGTCGCATTGATAGGAAGATTGAATTCCCGCTGCCCGATGAGAAGACGAAGAGGCGCATCTTCAACATTCACACCTCCCGAATGACTCTGGCTGAGGATGTCAATCTCAACGAGCTGATCATGGCCAAGGATGATCTCTCTGGAGCTGACATCAAGGCGATCTGCACCGAGGCGGGTCTCATGGCGCTGCGGGAGCGGCGAATGAAGGTGACCAACGAGGATTTCAAGAAGTCCAAGGAGAGCGTGCTGTACAGGAAGAAGGAAGGCACGCCTGAAGGACTCTATCTCTAATCATCGCGCAAAATCATTTATTCAGCTTGGTTTTTTTTAAATAATCCAATAAATTTCACTCCTTGCTAGGATCTGGCGCAGGATTCTTGTATCTCTCCTCTATCTTCTCGTGAATCCTCCTCGTGTGGGCACAGTTGAGCTTCACCAGCTCGTCCAAATCCTTGTTGAGGAGCGTCTGATCCAGGCAAATCTGACAATGTCCAAGCTGAGGATTTTTCAGCAGCAGATCCGCATTGCTGGTGTCTTTTTGCATGCCCATGCACTTCCCCACCAGGAAGGCATGATGAAATCCATCTCTGAATCCCGCGTCGAAACCCTCCTGGTACTTCTGTTCCCGGCCGGCCGAGATCCCGTCTTTGAATCCGCTCTGAAAGGCATCAGTTGGCAGCATTGGTATTGTCAATGCATTGTTTTGCACGCGTTCTTCGATGGTTTTACACTTACTTTGTGATGAATATCAGTTAGTTTATTGTAATTCTGCACTGACACCTTGAACTCATCCTCTTCGGCACCACTGTGAGTCATTATCATCTAGTAATCTTACGTATATATGGAAGATTTTGGGAGAAATACTGTGAGCACTTTTCACTTGTCTTTCAGTGTGTCAACAGTTGGCAATTGCAATGGCATCGAGTTCGACGAATTCGCCAACGGTTCCGGAGGCGGATGTGGAGGCTGCTGTGCAGCAGATTGTGGACTTGGCACAGGAGAAGTCTGGCACACTGTCCAACAATGATCTCACGGAATCCTTCCCGGACATGTCGCGCACCCTGCAATTGGCTGCAATCAACCGAATGCTGCAGCAGGGACAGATGGAGGTGCTCAAGAAGGGCGACCAGCTGGTTTATCGCCTCAAGGATCCAGCGAAGAAGGCATCCGCCCCGAAGGGAGCTGACAATGAGGAGAAGATCGTGTACAGCATCATCGAGGAGGGTGGCAATCAGGGCATCTGGATCCGAGACATTCGGCAGAAGAGCAATCTGATCATGGCGCAACTTAACAAGATCCTCAAAAGTCTCGAGAACAAGAAGCTCATCAAGGCGGTGAAGTCGGTGAATGCGAACAGGAAGAAAGTCTACATGCTGTACAACGTCGATCCGGACAGATCAGTGACGGGAGGCGCATGGTATCAGGATCAGGACTTTGAATCAGAGTTCGTGGATGTGCTGAATCAACAATGTCTGAGATTCCTGCAGATGCGCAGTGAGACTGCGGGGAAGGACAATGAGGGACCTCTGCTGGCGAAGCAAAAATCCCTCTGCTCCGTCGGGGATGTGCACAAGTTCATCTCCGATCTGGGCATCAGCAAAGTCAATCTGGACGAAGAGGATCTCAAGACAATTCTCAAGACTATCGTGTACGATGGCAAGGCGGAGAGCGTGCAGATGGACGGATTCACTCTCTACAGATCTATTGTTCCCGCCTTGCCACCGCCAGGACTCGTTCAGATGCCCTGCGGCATCTGCCCGGTCATCTACAATTGCTCCACGAATGGGCATGTCACGCCAAAAACCTGCCTCTACATGATAGATTGGCTGAATAATTGATTTTACCAGCAATAAATTTTACTGGGGCTTTAATTAAGACTTTAAGTATCGAATTTCGACTTTTTCTGTTTCTCAAGCGCGCCCAATAAAATTGACTATCATTGCGCAGTGGAATATTGCATTCGCGAGATATGAAATAATAATGAATATTTTCATTTCAATCACACACGATTCTGTGGTAAAAATCGAAATTCTGGCACGTATGGGTGTCGTTATGCCTATAGTTATACAGCATGCATGCTTTGCATAAATATTTTGTCGCCTCAATAGTGTTCATCTACAATAGTTGAAAACGCTTGTAGTTATTCTCCTCCATTTATTTTAATGACACCGTCTGTTGTGGAGCGCAAGTTGGTAAATTAGGTGTAAAACACGCGTCTCTGCCGCCGCGTGTCTTGAGGAATATCTCACATACGCGCCAAAAAGAACGCATATAGTGAGGATAAGAAAAATGTTGTGGACGGAAAATTTGCATTTAATGCCAAAACAGAGAGAGAAGATCGTTAAGGTGCCATCGCCGAATGACAAACAAATCCTTGAGGTATGTCGAAGAAGAACAATAAAATTATGATTATTATGCTACTTTTTGTTGTGTCTTCACGCAAACACAATCAGAATATTTAATGTTGTTTGACAATTTTGGATCTTTTGTCGCCTCTTTGCCTTGTTTGTCGTGTTCCTTTTTTTACACATTTTGGGGGAATTTTTCGTTTGTGAGCCATTTGTCGAAGGAAATTGCCCTCTCGACAGAGCTGAGTTTCTTCTAGACTTGAGATAGAAATACACTAATGTTTAATTAGAGAACTTTATAGAATGTCTTATCTGTATTGTCAACAACTCTGCAACACGCAACCTTGTAAGGAAAGTACTCACTATTAACTTAAGTATTTTTGCTCTGGTATTTTGGCTTTTTAGACTTAGTGATAAAGTAATTTGGGTCTCTTCCAACTGAATTTATTGCACGTTAAATTGTCAGCGCTATCAGTGGAGGCAAAAAGGTGTCTCGTGATAATTCCCAGAGCTTCTTTAAATATTTGTGCACACGAACTCGACATTTTTTCCCCGCCACAGAAGAGATTAAACTTGAAGGCAATTTTTTTCACTTCACCTTTTGTGTCTGAGAAATGAGGAGGAGCAGAAGGAAAAAAAAAACTTAACACGATAATCATTTTAATCACTTAAATATGACATCCACCTAATTTTTTCCTCCTTCATAATTTACTTTTCGTGATATGGAAAAAAAATTCGCCTCACAATGCAATATCATTGAAGTATCTGAGCAATTATTTGGTTAGATTTTTTCCCAGCCAAATATTTTGCCTTTTTCCCCGTCCGAAAATCTCAATGAGATCCTCTCAATGCTTTCGTGTCCCATATTTTGTAGTGTTTTGTGGGGAAATTTGTGTGAAAATTGATTGCTCTGAAAAAATTAATTTATGGATCGTGCCCAACAACAGAAAAGTAAGGAATTTAGTAATGTTTAGAGGGGAAAAAAGACATCATAAATATCCGAAATTATTCCTCAATCAATTGCTGCAACGCGCGATTTAAATGTCACTGCAAGGGAGAAAAAGAGCAAAAGTCCAATTTCAAAATTAAATTTAATTTATTCATTCTCTAAGTCAGAGGAAAAAAAAATCTCTGAACTGAAGTGTTGTAAAATTTTTGACCAAATCAATTTCAAAAGCACCTCAACCTCCAATTATACGCGAACACCGTGAAAATAATTTGCTGAAAAAGCGCGTCTTATACGAAAAAAAAAACATTCCTGGGTTGCACTTAATTGGGCAAATTTAATAATAACAGTAATGAAGTAAAATGAGTTGAGAGACTGTGAGTGAGGCAAAAAATGGCGAAATGCCTAGAAACTGAAACTCTCAATAAATATTAATTCAAAGTCAACTCCACGGTGTGAATTTGAAATTTTAATTTAATCCGTGGAACAGAAGAAAATGAAAAATGCCAGAGAGCCGTCAAAGAAAAGCCTCCATGCGGTGAGTTTTTATCAGAGAAATTGAAAGCGACATTGACATGGCATGAATTTTATGCAAAACCTCATTTACAATGAGATTTATTTGATTTTCAAAACATTTTCTGGTAAAGCACTATAAAGAAATGCTTCTTTTCCCTCGCGTCTTCTGCACAAAATTCCATCGACGCTTTAGATGGGCGACAACATTGTCATTTGCCGTGCATTTCATTATCTCAATCTCTCCATCTCACTGAACATGGCTAAACCATCGTGAATAGAAAGAGAATTAGGAGTGATTTTACAGGGTTTCTTTATGGTGTTTCTGCTCGAGAACTTTTTCAGTGGGATTTATTCTAAACAAATTTATTATTCACCGTGACTGTCTTGGAGGAATTTCTGTAATTGGTAATTTTCAACTTGTTCCCTGATTTACGCACTAAATATTGATTTTCCACAACCTATCGTGAGATTTATTCTTTTTTTTTTGAAATTCGAGATGCTTAGACCACTGATAAGAAGTCAAGATTTACTGTCCTGACTGTGAAAATAAAGCTCATGCAGCGCCGAATGAATGTCGATGAGTGAATTCCGACCTTTCTTTGTCCTTCTGGATTTTCATCGTCAAATTTACATTCATTTGTTTTTAAGTTCTCTGACTGAAAATGGAGTGTCAATGAAATAAGTGAAAACGTGGGCGAAATATTTCATTGATTAAAACATGATTTCAGTGATATAAAATATGCCCACAGGTGAATTTTTTCTTAAGGTATTATTTTTTGTAATATTCGAATTATCAATGATGTCAACATGACTGTTTTTAAGGTGATTTTCCCCGAATTGTCACACACACACAATACCAACTATTTTATTACTGATACCTTTGTCATGTTTTGCAATTTTTAAAGTTTCGTGAGTTTGTCTTAATCATATTTTTATTATATATTTGATATGTGGCGAAAAAGTGTATGAACTCTTTATGAGTTCATAAAATTGCGGTTTATCATTTTATGATAAGGAGTTGTGTCTTAAAATTCACATTTTGAAAGTAAACACCACGTTTCGAATATATATATTACATACTTATTTATGATACAAACATTTTACGGGTTTATTACCTTTATTGGTCCTTCCATGAGGTTAGTGCCATTTTAGAGGTATTTTGTGCGCTAAGTTCTATCTTACCTTGATGATTCTCTTCATCATTTATCAAATAACCCTCCCTATTAGTATCGCACAAGTTGTTTTTACTTATTGTAAGCTTATTCATATATTGATTTATGATGATTTCATATCCAGGCACTGATTGCAGAATTTCAGCATGACAGACGAATAATTGCTTCATTGACTTGTACCTGTAATTCTACACGTATGAATATTGTCTTTGAGAAATTTCATCTATTCTCTGTGGCCCTTTCGCTGCATAGAAATCGATGTCTTATGCAAATATCGATTGTTGATTGAGGTGTGAAAAGTAACGACAAAAGGTGTGTGCTTATAGAGAAAAAAAGTGGAGCCCTTTAGCGAAAGTTTTTTTCTCTCTTCACCTTGATTTCTTTTCATCTCTCGGACGACGTATCATCCAATTTAACGCTAATAGTGTGTTTTGATATTACAATTCAGCGTGGGCCTCAATGGCAATCAATCAAAGAGGCTAATTGATTCATTTTAATGCGTCTCACAGGCAAAATGGGTGCAGTTTTCCTCCACTGTTCATCGCGCCAAGACGATCGTGGAGAGTGAGCAAATAAGCGCGGCGAAGATTATGACAAATAGCGTATGGTGTACAAGGGAGTCGATATAAAAGCCCAATAGATATTTTTCTCTCAATAAGAGACTGATGGGTGGGGGTATTGTACCCATTTGGCCTCAGTGTTCTTGTGCGTTATCTCGCGAAGGTCAATCGAATTCTTTGAGGAGTCTCACTATGTATGTGACGCTAAGAATGAGAATAAACTTCGCCGGCAGCTTTTTCACGCGAAATAAATTTTAAAAAGGAGCTGGAAAGTCTCCATAGCGCGAAAAACAAGTAAAATAAGAGTGTCGATGGTGGGGCCGGCAAAAAAGAGCGCACAATAAAACGACATATCAAGTGAATCCAATCACTGGAGTTTGTGTGTGAATAAAATTAAATGGTTTGAGAATACAAATGGCTTGGCGTAGATTTTTTTCAAAGCTCTGCAAACTCGACTAGAAGTTTTATTCTCAATGTGACGACTATCTGGCTGGAAATTGACCAAATGCGAATATACTTGCGAATACATTATGAGAAGTGTGCATGCTTTAGACATCAATTGATTGATTTGTTTCTCAAATGAAAACGAAGACGTGAACTGAATACGTTTAATTCAACATGCTGCGATCTAGTTTTATTTTACAAGTTGTTTCTTTTTGCATCCTCAAAAGTTCTTCTTTCTTTTTAGGGATTAAGTTTTGTGTGTTTTGCTCTTGCAATCTGCACAATATCCAAAAAATTAGTCAAACATTTTGCAGAATCTCTTAAGCTCACTCCTTATTTCACATTCTGACAACCTCTACGCAAATCAGAAAGATTATGTCCAGTGATTAAATTCTCCATTAGGTTCAAGGCTTCGAAATGATTTAAATACCAATTAATTTCATTCATGTCTCTCTGGCGAATTCGAGTCGCAAATAGAGACGTTTTTGGCAGGTTTTGCCATTCTCAGGCATCAATCCTAAATGGATGTGATATAGATTTTTTGTGTGTCATTTTGCTCTTAAGTGCCTTTTCGCCCAATGAATCATGTCATTTTTACCGTCCAAATGTGGATACTCACAAACAGTAATGAGATGCTCGCCACATTCGAATCGCCCATGCAGAATTGAGGTTTACTCATTTTAGTGGCGTGAAGTGTTCTCTTCGACATATTTTAATACTTGGCCACTCATTATCATTTTCCTCTCGTATGGAAGACATACAAATTACAATGGGGTTCTTCTTTCCAAAGGTGGCAATTCACCAAGACTATCTTAATTGCATTTCCTATGTTTCACTTGTTATTCACATTGCGCAGCACCTCTCAAAATTCTCAAACAGTGCCATCTTCCTCCGCCAAAAGAGTCGGTTTCGTGACACCATTTGGACCCATAGTGATCCATTTCTCTGATTTTACGCCGCGACTTTTCTTTCAACTGCGAGGCGTGCATTTCGGACCGAAAAGAGGTAAATGCCGACTTTGGTGTATTGACGAAGAATGGGATGGAGAATGAGTAAAAAAAACAAACATGCGACCAAACTTTAGTTCCATATCATATGCCCAGTTATTCTTTTTGCCATACCTTTCCATCTTCTTGGCTCTATACAGTTTTTTCTTTCCCTCCAACTATTTTCCTCTATACGCTATTAATTGCGCCTAAACACTGTTAGAAATTGATCAAACGAAAAATACCCACTGGAAAACGAATCTCTCTCTCACACACAGTGTCCAATATACAGGCGCATATCATGATGTTCTAACTTCTAAAACGATTACAGTGCCAAGGAGGAAAAAATGTCTGAAACCCACCCGACAATGGAATTATTCCATGATGATTTATTAAAGCGTAAAGAGCTGATCCATCAACTCCTTCAGAATTTCTCGTAGGTTATTAAGCACAAATCATGTTAGAATTTTTATTGAGGAGTAAAAAAA